ACAGAGCTCCTCCAAAACAACAGAAAACATTATAAAACAGGTTGTGTAGTATTCTCTCATGTGTAAACAATGGAATTTTCTATTTCTATTTTCTATTTAATTGACTTTCTATTTCCCATGATGCTTAGCGGTGGGAGAGTTCTTCAAGCAGAGCTGTGTGCCAGGTGCCAACCAGCCCGGGTTCCCTGGCAGCCTGTGCAGTCTGTGTATGGGAGACAGCTCTGGACAGAACAAATGTGAGAAGGGAAAAGACCTGTATGATGGATACGACGGTGCCTTCAGGTACTATAAAACTGCAGCATACCAGACCATCATCAGGATTGCATGTTTGACTTGTGTTTTCCCTATTCTGTATTTCCATTTCAATTTTCAATCCCATTTTTTTCCTTTAATGTTACAGGATAATGTAATGTAAAGATCATATAGGTTTATGTTATGACCACCAGCAAATTGTGTTTTCAGTTTTCTCAACACTGTACATCTTTAATTTTCACCAGCTGTTAGTGGCGCATGTAATATAATTTTTAAGCTCTATTATTGGATGTTTCTTGCTTTAATGCGCCTTTGGAGTTATAGTTAACTTATCCTGGTGTTTTGCCCAGGAGAGTTTCATGCCAATCCAAGCCATAGAAGTGCTCCAAATGGCAGTAATGTAACATTATTACTTTCTGGAAACAACCAAATCAGCTTCTCCAACTCTTTTACCTCCAACAGAAAAGTATCTTGAACTTATGCCACACACTACATGTGTCTGTCTATCTATCTGTCCATTCAGGTGTCTGGCGAAGGGAGATGGAGATGTGGCTTTCATCAAACATTCTACTGTCTTCCAAAACACTGATGGTAAGAAATACCAAGATACAAAATGTTCTCTTTTTAATGGTCTCATCATTTTAAGGGATGTAAAGACTCCACTTTGTGTATTTGTTCAGGTAACTCTGGGGAATCGTGGGCAGTGGATCTTCGATCTACAGATTTCCAGCTGCTGTGTTCCCATGGCACTAAAGCCGAGGTCTCACAGTACAGACACTGTAACTTGGCCAGAGTCCCTTCTCACGCTGTAATGGTACGGGCCAACTACAACATCCACGTTGTATATGGACTGCTGGACCGCGCACAGGTAAGACGTGTCTGTACTGTATGTGAGTCAGAAGGGTGTAAGCCGTCAAAGTGCAGAGACCTGAAACTGCATTAAGATAGGTTATCGTTTACAGTAAATAATTCACTGATTATTTTTGTCAAATGTATGTTATCATCATATGAGTCGAATAAAAAAAAGGAAACATTGTGAAATAGTTTTTGTGTGTGATTGATTGTTTATTACATTTTAGTACATGTATGAACAAATCAGGAAATCATGAATAGTGAGTGTAAATGCATTATGTTATGTAGTGGACAAGAACCACACTTCTGTAGGTTATTTATTGCAAGACATCAGCAGTGCTATCAGCATAACTTTTGGACAAATAAAGCTAGCAGAGATGCAACACATACAGTTCATTAAAAAAAACAAGTACTATATTTCCTGTTAAAACATTCCCCTTCGAAAAGTGTGCATATTCAACATTAGAATATTTATACTTAATAAAGTGCATGAAAAATAGGAAATATAACACTGTAAGTGTCTTGTGTCTCTGCAGGTTTGTTTTCATCTTACAGTGAAATGAATGGAAATCAGTGGCTAACTTTGTCAGTTTGGTGTTTTGTTTGTCATTATCTCTGTTTCCCTGTAGACATATTTTGGCAGTGATACAGGTCTGGTTTCAGGATGTTTGACTCACAGGCCTACAAGGGCACAGATCTCATCTTCAAAGACTCCACTGTTCGCCTTGTGGGTGTTGCTGACAGAAAGACCTACCAGGAGTGGCTGGGCCAGGGCTACATAGCCTCACTGGTCGACATGGAGTGTAACTCATCAAGTGCAGGTATAAAACAGACTAAATAGCATAAATCCTTCCTTACAATCCAAAGCCAATACATACTTACTTACTAGTAACATTTTCAATGCAGGACATGCAGCTGCTACCAATTTTCATTGCATAAAATGGCCATTTTGTCACATTATCTGTCAAAGTTGTTTTCATATGTACACTCTGTCTTTAATATTTGCCAATTTCTCGTTCTCTTACAGTGGTGTCTTCTGTCTGCCTGTTGCTGATGGCCCTGTTCGGCTTCATGCTGACCAACCTCTGAATGTGGCGTCCAGCCTCTTCTCCTACTCCCTTCCTCATCCATTTTCTCTATTCCTCACCCCGCAACTCTTTACATTTCCTGTACATTGGAACATGTCCTTTCTACCTGATTGTGTGTTATTTTACTATACAAGAGAATGGTATGTTGGAACTGCCTTTGGATTTAAATTGTGCTAGTGTTATAGCAAATGAAGCACAGCATCTCTTGTTTTTGGGGCATAGAAGAGAGTTAGTTGCCAAAGGACTTTCAGCCAGTGTGAATCATACATGTTGACAGAAGGTGTTGCTGCCACTTTGTTTACTGAAGATGAGCTGCCATATCAGTGTATATGCTGCCATCTGTTACATTGCTTTAGTGGAAAGTGCATACCTGTCTCGCCAAAGCTAGTTTTAGAAAGAACAGACTATCTTGATTTTTAACCTCACATGAGCCACAGATATTGCTTTAACTTCTGGTTTACCACAGAGGGTGCAAAACAACATTTATTCCAGGAAACACTGGATAATTAACAAAACAGAGTTTTTGTAATGTAGATGAATTGACCCTTTAACCTAAGTAGCTCTAACAGCACTAACATGGGCAGGAAGTTTACTTTTGAATGAATTTATATTCAAATCAACATGTTCAGTCAGCCAGAAACAATGCAAATTTAAAGCTTTCCTCACAGATACCTTTAACACTGTATTGATTGTAACACACTGTAACTTACCCAAGATCGGCTCCCCCATTTTTAAAGGCTTCATGTGAATTTAAAAGTCAGATTGCGGTTCTGCTCTGCTGTCACTTGCCCTGTGAGTACTACTAACGAGCACGGCCTTCCCATAGTTTAGGCTGTTTCTGCAATAAGCTAATGCCATATCAGTGAATATGCACTAGTGTTGCCTCCACACAGAGCTGTGCTGGGGATGGTGTGATGATGAGTGACTGAGTGATTGTCCATAGGCTGTCCACTTCATGTATTCTCCTCAAATACCTAAAAATCAAGAAAATTAATACTCTTATTCATCTGGTTTAACTTTATATTCGACCAAGCCTCCTTGAGCTGCTGCATATTTTCTAACTATTCTTATATTATTGTTACTAATCTGATGCTTTTGGATGGGAACTGCTTCAGCAGCAGATACACAGCATACCTCCTACCTGCAGCAATTTCTGACACCTTTTTCAGCATTTAAATTGGACACAAATGGATTGAGTAACTGACATATTGGTCAGGTTCCATCAGATTTGGGGAGAACATAAAGAAAACACCCTGTGGTTTGTGCTGGAGAGTGAATGAGTTTTTGTTTGTCTGGATGGTTTAAATCAAAGAGGAGTTTGTGTCAGGTGAGACAGCAGACTTTCATTTGTTAAGGTTTAAATTAAAAACAGATTTACTTGCATTTTGTTTGACTCAATTTAAGAACATTTACTACATTTTGGTTTGGAAAAGGATTTTGCTTAACCTCTATGCTTCTAACCCAAACTCAGTCCAGAAATGTGTCTTTCTAACTCTAACCTACCAGTGCTTGTCATATCTGTTGTACTTCCTACTGCTTGATGCTGTTTCCTGTTTTAAAATGTTGATTTGGATGTGTATTTTCCTATGTTGAAAGATTTATTTTTATATGAAGTTCAGGTGCCATATCAGTGTATATGTACTGACTCATGCTGTCAGAAACTAATGCTTTCTCTTCCTCCTGATAGAGATTTATTTCTATGTGAAATGATGTAACATGTGACTAATATTTAGTTGCCAGGCCAGTGCGTCTGCACAAGTATTAATACATAAAGCTGCCAACTTGCGCTGTTTTCTGTACTTGATCAAATGAAATAAAGATATGTACCGCAAAACTCACACTTTTTGAAGACTTGTTGCTAACGCTGTGTCGTATGACGTCCCTTGTCATGTATTTCTGAAATATGCCTTTTAACTCGTGCCAAAGCTGCTAGAAAGATTAATTTCCATCAGAATATATGTAATAAGGCTGCATTTCCTCAGACAAAAGGTTTTCATTTTTAGCGTCTTGTTGCTAAAATCTTCTCATCTTTTTATACATAGACACACATGGACTTTGTGTTGTATGCAAAGTAGAGCAATTGAATCGATTAATCTGCCCAGTATTTTCTTGATTAATCCACATTACATCAGACACCAGCCAATCTAGATTTTTTAAGAGCTCAAGGCAACATGTCTTGTTATGATCAAGTCTTATTTTGTCCAACCAACAGTCCAAAATTCAGATGTAAAATTTTCTAAGATGCTAAGACAAGGAAAATCAGCAAATTCTCACATTTAATAAGCTGAAACCATCAAATGATTGCTTGAAAAATGACTAAAACGATTCATGAATCATCAGAATAGTCGCCAAATCTTTCTGACAACCACCTAATTGATTAATCATTGAAGTCCTAAGTGACAGTAAAATATACAGTAACTAGGTCAAGGTACTGTCAAGACCAAAGGATGAATGTCATATATTGGTGACTTGGGACCAGAAATTATACATGCTCTGACCAGACCACTGGTGTACATATATGCAAGTGACACTACAAGTTGAATCAGTCTGAATTAACTTTTGACACTGTGACCAGGGAGCAATAACATGTCCTCTTGTCTCAATTTCTAGAGTTTTATATCTCTGCTGTTGTCCTGCTGGAGTTGTGAAAGCAAATGAACTCCTCATAACTCTGCAAATCTGACACGGCTTTTCTTACAGTCAGTCCCCGGCATTAGTCCACTTTAGTTTCCACATCTTCTCTTTAAAGGTGCTTTATGTCCTTAAAATTAACATAACAATGGCAAATAAATATCACTTGACAATGTGTAGCAGTGTTTTAAATTATAATCTTTATTTATACAGTCAGAACAAAATAGTGAAATCACTGTCTACACTGTACATAACACATCTCTCTCAATAAGTACATTTTGGCTAATAAAATTATTATGCAAGACAAATTCATGTACATATCCTCAAAAGCTCTTTGGCAGGTATCACAGATGCCATACTTTACCAAGACAGTTACTACTTTTCCACAGACTTTATATTTCCATGTGTTTTCTGACAGTTTATCATAAATTATCTTGCCATCGATCGCAGTTGAGTGCGGACCTCTTCACATTAACAACAATTATTCCTGATCGTGAAGTGATCAGTGTCCATGATGAAGCCACTTTCTAATGATTACAGTTAACCACCACGCACCATTGCTGAGGCAGATTGTTCACACATCAGTTCTCCTCTGGTCTTCTTTAATTATTGCTTGATCCATAATAAGTCTGGTGATTATACAAAAACATGAGATGTTATCAGCATGACAGTAACTAAAGTTTTGTTATCAGTGGAGTCCCAGTCTCTTTAACATCCTACAGCCAGTCTGTCCTCTTTATTTCTTGATCTGTCTGGAGCCGTCCTTCCATCCCTCCTTCACTTCATTAACAAAAGTCTCTCTGACTCTCCTGAGGCGGCTGCCCACCTCTCCCAGGTCACCGGGGACTCTGCCGGCCTCAGCCCGGACCTGCCGGAGCGTCTGGGAGCGCATGACCCGCTCCGACGCGTCCCGGCCGGCTATCTGAGCCTTGGTGATGGCGTAGGCTGTGATCTGGGCCGCCCTGCGAATCGGACGAGACTCTGCCAACTTCTCGACGACGCGGTGGTTGTTGATGAGGTTGAATAACATACGAGCGAGCATGTTGGCGAGTGTTCCCCAAAGATCCTCGTCCTAGCTGACACGTTAGCTTAGCCTGCTAAGTTAGCAAGCACTCCCGTCCAACTCTCGTGTTTTTCACCCCTGTAATGACACCAACTTTTACTGTTAGCTGGCTGAAATGCGTCCAGTGTATGTTATACTGTCATATATGTTGCGGTTGTGGTGTAAATGTCAATAACAATACATAACAAAGCGGGCTTACTTCAGCTGAACCAGGTGACCGCTGGGCTGCAGTGGCTGTCGTAACAGGCTGTGGAGCGAGGCTGAAGTTCGCTTCAGATTGGAGGCTTTATGAGAAACTTTGTTTTTTGTTTGTTTTCTGATTTAAACCAGTAGTACACTGCAGAGTAAGTACTAAGTAAGCAATGTAGTTGTTTTACACATTTATTATAGTTATAACTTTATCGATTTAAATCAGCAGATCATTTATCCTCTAAATGTCTCATGAACTCACGAAAACATAGTCTGACGAATGTGAAGCGAACTTCAGTTTTCTCTCAGACGATTATTTTTTTATTATTTATTATTTATTATTCTAAAATAAACCGTTAATTAATCATTACAATCAGTCCATTACAATTTCCAGTTTGCAAGCTACAAACCGTACCAAATCCGGACTAAGCATGTTTACCGGACGTTTTCGCTGTTAACACCAGCAGGTAAAATACGTCCGGGTCGAATCAGACGCGCATCCGCTTTCGGAAGCAGATCTTTCCAGCTCATTTCCTTTTTTCATCTCCAACATTTGCACACTGGTCGTGGAGCTTACACTTCTCCATACTAAACCCTTTAACACCCGGAAACTGTGAGAGGACTGCAGCCATGCGGGTGCTTCTGTTGTTCGCCGTGACTGTGCTGTCCCTGAGCCCGGCGGCGGTGAGTGGAGCCGAGAAGAAGAAGCTGCAGATCGGCATCAAGAAGCGAGTGGACAACTGCCCCATCAAGTCCCGCAAGGGAGACGTGTTGAACATGCACTACACGGGCAAGCTAGAGGACGGAACCGAGTTCGACAGCAGCATTCCCCGCGACAGGCCTTTCACCTTCACCCTGGGCACTGGCCAAGTGATCAAAGGCTGGGACCAGGGTCTGCTGGGCATGTGCGAGGGCGAGAAGAGGAAGCTGGTCATCCCCGCCGAGCTGGGCTACGGAGACCGGGGAGCCCCTCCGAAGATCCCCGGAGGAGCGACGCTCATCTTCGAAGTGGAGCTGCTCAGCATCGAGAGAAGATCCGACCTTTGATGAAGATGAGATTGCAAGGCAGGCACTTTCCAAAACGTGAGTTGTTACAGATATATGCCAACTTCTGAATGACCTGTCTAGATAGTGGATTACAATGTCTTTTGATTCAACAAATTATAATACCCCCCCCCACACACACACACACACACACAAACACACACACACAAACACACAAACACAATGAGGTAATTTGATTAAAAGCAAATTAATTTAGGTACATGCACCATGTAAACTCGACAGTAAAATAAAGGTCTTAAACTAGATGTGTACTCCGAGCACACCAAGTAAGAGAAACATTAACTTTAGGTAATAAAGCTGGATCCACCTAGACCCCCCCTCTTCATGAAAAGAAACTTATTTTTTGATAGTATTTATGGTCTGTGTTTTTCAGTAATAGCCATTCAATTTACATCTTAGTGGTGGAGTCTATCTCTGTCTGGCTGGATTCAAATTACCTTCATGTGCACAAAGGTTTCACGAGAAATAATACATTTAAAGTACTGTTTTTTTATTAATTGATATTAGCCTTTCTGTCCACCTCCCACAGCCGCATCAAAGCTGTATTAAATTACTGCTAAAACCTATATCCTACTGATATTGCTTCACAGTAAAACATTATACTTGTTTTTAATGTACAGCAGTAACTGTCAGTTTACTTTGGCAAAAATGTGTCTACAAAACTTTAAGGGAGTAGAGGAACAAGAAGGAGCTGAACAGCTGCAGAGGACAGGAAGTGAAACAAATATTGTTACAAAACTGGTCCTGAAACTCTGACATTATTTCAATATTAGTTTTCAGAGGATACCTAAAGTTGGTGTAAGCAACCCCCTCCTGTCAAGCCTTCCCCCAAAATACAGTTTCATGTTCAGTGAGTGCACCGGTAGGAAGGTATTCAGGCATGTAGGCCAGGACGCCAGATACCGGATCATTTTCATTTTTGTGTCAGAGCATTTCATTTGATTGCTGTTGGGATGAAAAGAGAATTTTGACAAATCTAAAAAAAATGCTGAAACCTTTAAAATTGTAATTGACTGTAATTTTCCTTCAGGTTCCAGGAGCTGCTGCAGCATTAAGTAGAGATCCTCTGACCTCTGATGACGACCACATTGCAAATCTGAGAGAAGAGTTGGCAACCCAACGGCAAAGCCACTGTCCTCCTTTCAGTGGCTTTGTTTATTGTGCTCTGATTTATAGGACTGAAGTTATTATGACATACAAAACTGTATGTCCTTACTAAACGTTAGTAGAATTGATGGTGAGCAGCTAAGCCCAGTATCTGGCTGTGGGCTGATGGTAAAAGGCATGCCCTGCCATTTCATCTCATTTATGGTTTTAATGTTCAAAAGTGAGTTCATTCATATGTCTACATTCTTCTTACAAAATAATTTAGGTTGTTAATTTAGTCAGAAATCAGATTAGGGTAAATGTTACATGTTTTGTTCACTTTAAATATTTGAATTATGATAATAAAATGTTGACCTTACAGAAAATTTTGCAGTCTGAAGTGGTTTTGTTGGACAAGAAGGTTTTACAGTTTTCCTTGTCTTCACTTACTATATGTGTATTTTATGGATCTTAGCTGTAACAAATGCCCCATGACTGTGGAACAGTTTCAGTAAGTATATATGCTGTCTTGTCTTGTAAGTCTTGTATATATGCTGTAGACATATAGTAGGGTTATAGTGCAATCTATAAAGCACTATGCTAATACTTTTAACAGTAATCTATGAAGTCTGATTTAGGAGCTGAAATATTCTTGTAATTATACACTATAAATGTACTATAATACTTAATCACAAGGTTTCTCAACCTACAGTTTTGCATGCTCTTAGGTGCAAATTATGTTTGAAAAAGAGCAGTTTTTGGCATGTGGTCTTAATCAGAGTCGGACACGTGTATTAAAAGCAGAGTAAATGTAAATGCTCTGTATTTGTATATCGCCTTTCTAGTCTTTTTGACGACTCATAGTGCTTTTACACTACATTGCGTTCACCATTCACTCACATTCATACACTGGTGGAACAGCCACCAGGAGTAATTCAGGGTTCAGTATCTTGCCCAAGGACACTTCGACATGCAGCCTGGAGGAGCCGGGAAGAACCGTCAACCTTCCGATTGACAGGCAACCCGCTCTACTTCCTGAGCCACAGCCACCCCAAAACAACAAAAGACACAACAAATGTAGGCTATATATTTGCACCTTTTTTTTATTCCTTAATGTAATATACAGTACAACAACACCAAAAAACAACAAAAAATCATTCTGCCCCACCATCCTGTCATGGGTCTGGGACAGGCCAGAGAATCTCGTCATCCACCTCCTTTCCGGTGTCCTTGTCCTCTTCCTTCACATCACTCTGTATCCGTTGTTCCAAAACTGAATGAACTGATTCGGGACCCTTTATCTGTCTACTGAAACTTCTTTTAGGTGTGTGATCAATGACTCTTTGTGTTTCCACCGGGTAGTTGTGTGCTGCTCAAGCTTTGGTGACTTGAGTTAACAATATTGAATGTTAGGGCTTTCTTCATGACTACATGGTACACTGTCATGGTGCAAAAGACATGAAGGAATTTATGTATAACGTGAGAGTTTGCAGTGAAAACAGGGAATGATATTTATATTTTGGGGAAATGGGTGTGCTTTTTGATAAATGGCGATGTTAGTTCAAAAGCCTGTTTATAGTAAAGCAATAGAGAAAAACATGTGAGTACACGTTTTGCTAGGTTTTGTAGGGGCTGAACTCGGCCCTGACGTTTATAGCAACACGTTCCTCTCGGAGTTCTTCAAAGGACGGACACACGAAGCGGAACGTACGTCATCGCGTTTCCGCAATGCTAACAGTCGAGTAGCTGCAGACCGCCAACTTACAAGCGATTGCTCCACGATGACTGCTAAATTAAACGCTTTGAATAGTGATTCTTACATCGACGTTAGTCAATACAGAGACCAACATTTTAAGGTAAGTTGGGAAATATTCGTAAGGAGCGCCAGTACCTGAGGGTTTTTTAACGTTAACGTAACGGTTTATCTTGTTAGCTAACACAGTCAACAACCGTTAGCATCTCGTGCTTTTGTGTTGATCGATTTAGTAACTTTACATTTAAAGACCTCATGGTTTCTTCCCCTTTTTACCATCATAAAATCAGCGTATCTAACAGTTTCAGCAGCAGCAGTAGCAGCAGGATATCGGTTTAACGTTACCTTACCACTGTAAGCTACAGTAAAGAAACCAGTGTCCTTTACTTCCTGAGTGGTGCTTATTGTTGTTTGTGTTTTCAGGGTAACCGCTATGATCAGGAGAAGCTGCTGAAGCAGAGCCACACTTTGTACGTTGGGAATCTCTCCTTCTATACCACTGAGGAGCAGGTAGGATACACTGGCACTATTATTATAAAGCCCTGTACTAAGTTCTTTGGAAGTTGCTTTTACTCTAATCATATTTTTTATGACAAGAAGATGAAAGAAGTAGCTTTGGCTTTCTAAAACATCTTTTGTTTGCTTCTTGTGGTCTGTGACTTTATTTTCAGATCCCCAAAGCCGTTATTAGGCATTGGCCAGTATGAGATTTTGACTGTATGATAACCTTAAGCAAAAATATCACAGTTTCTGGTATATTATTGCTCTAAAATGTGTTATTTTTAAATTTCTGTGTTTAAAAAAAACAAAAACATCAACTTGTTTCAGTGAACACAATATATTTTATTTAAGCAATAACATATACTGCTGCTGCTAAGAAAAGCAAGACACTTAACCCCTAGTTGCTCCAGAGGCGTGGGCAATTGTAAGTCGCTTTGGATAAAAGCGTCAGTTAATTGAATAAATGTAACTTGAGGTGTGAAAATAGCTGATGTTAGTTAGGTAATTAGCCATGTTATCTTCCTTGGTAGCAGGCCAATAGTATTTATTTCACCTCTCTTTGCTTGTTGCAAATGTTCATTTCAAGATAATGTTTAATTTAGCAAAGAGTGACGAATGGTGCTCCCGTAGATGGGATATCATATTTGCCGTATTGCCTCCGTCTTCTTCGGTGGGGGAAAATGTTCAGGGGTTCGTCATCCTAAACACAGGTGCTCGCACCAACCAGAGGGGGAGGGATCATGTTACACTCTACATGGGTGTGAATTATACAATGACAACCAACCAACTTTTTTCCCAGGTACCAGAGGATACCCAGTACAGCGCTGGTGTGTGCTTCAGTGAACTAAAATCTTACAATGCTTACTATATCCTTGCTTATTTAACTAATGTATGCTGTCTGTAGATGATAAATAAATCAAATTCTTCGCACCAGTTGATGGGTTCCTATACCACACAACAACTTCTGTAGTTAGAGGTCACCAAGTATTCTAGAGCAAAACTGCAAGAAAGTCAGACCTGCATACACAACAACAGGCCATCATGACTGCACAAAACAGACCCACTCAATGCTGAACCAGAACCAAAGACAACATCATAAAAAACAGGCTGCATTATCATCTCTAATTCCAAATTTTTATCATTTCAAGTTTTAAGGTAACTTACTCTTTTGAGCAAATATCTTCTTTCCTATTGCTCATGTTGATTGTGAATGAAATAATAATAATGATAATAATAAAGCAGTAGTCATTCATTGTTGGGGAATTGGAAATTGTTGGGTCTACGGTCTACACCTGTTCTATATGAACAGTGCAATGACATGACTTTTGTTATGAATTGGCACTACATAAATAAACCCGAAACTGAAGACATTTGAAATAACAAACCTGGATTTTAACATTTACCGGGGCAGGTAAAACTCCTGAATTCCAGAGTGAAAACAAATGCTATGCTTATTGTAAAAACACTCACAAAAGACTTGAAATTAAATAATAAACTCTATATTGATGTCAAAATGTATCTCTACCAAAACTAATACTCAGTTTCATTGCTTATGCCTAAGCACCAGTGTTAACTAACAATTACATAAAATATGAAATGACGGTGATAATAAAATGATAGGTGAACTGTCAGCTAGCTAACATTAGATAGCTTATTTTAAGTAAAAGAAATACCAAAATCTGAAGGTAGGAGAGTTAAGTGTATTAAACAAGCTAGATGGCTAAATACTGACATTAACCTGCAGTGTCTCTATTCGAGTGTGATGCACTGAGTGGAGCAGCAGCAGCTGCGAGTGATGCAGCCAGACAAGACTTTCAACTAACGTCAATGTTAGGAGATGATGGTATGGTCCATTTTAGGGGTGTCTGAAATTGTATTTGTAAATGTAAAAAAACAGCTCATATCGCAGCAACGGTATAAAATAAAATTTTTGTGGTTTGAAACTTTTTCATACCATGGGATACCTTGAAACCAGTACCCGGTCCATGCCTAGCCGTTAGTGAGTTGTCATGGGAGTTTTGAGTGTCGTATAGTGTTTAGAGTTTCATGAAGTAGTCTTCTAATGCTTCTGTTATTTTTGTGACTGATAAACAGGTACATGAGCTATTTTCTAAAAGTGGAGACGTCAAGCGCATCATCATTGGTCTGGATAAAGTCAAGAAGACAGCCTGCGGATTCTGCTTTGTAGAGTATCCTTTTATATATGAAACCCAAGTCTTACTTACATGCATTCACCTACATGCACAGCAAACACACCTTGGTACCGAGTCCACAATCTGTCTGGTGACTGGTAACAAACTAACAGCATTGTAGAGATTTAACAGTATGAAAATTTCATATCACGATTATAGTGAACAAAATTCAAACAGGCTCAAAATGTTCAAAAAGTACTTATACACTTCACTAAGTTTCATATTGAAAAGCACAAACAAAATTAGCAGCACTATGTACTGTGTTTGCATAAATAAATAAAACATTATTAACACAGCCAATACCTTATGTAAATGGTTATGAAATTGTTACCGGTTTAATCATCATTGTTATAGCTCAAGTTTTACCACTGTAGCATGATGTGTGCATATTGTGCAAGTTTAGGAGACCTTAACCCCCGCTGTACCAGATACTACACCCGTACAGGCGCAGAAAATGCCATGCGCTTCATTAATGGCACACGGCTGGACGACCGTATCATCAGGACAGACTGGGACGCCGGCTTCAAGGAGGGGCGGCAGTATGGCCGTGGCAAATCTGGAGGACAGGTGAGGATCCTGACTCCTGTTTGTTATGAGTACTTGGGATAATGATCTGTACAGAGATAGAACTTTTTGTTTAAAGAGTAAGTTATAGAATAACAAATAGTCATATTACCCCACAGATCATGGTACTTCATTCAAACTCAACAGAAAAAATAACTCACTAAAATTGTCTAGGTTATTCTTCCCACTGTTCCAACAATCACCAACTCTCAATTGATTGATATAAACCCTTTTATTCAGAGTTAAACGTCAAAATATTCTGGCTCTATATGCTAGCTCCCTGCTGCCTCTCTGATGTTCGACCTCCTTTTCACTCCTCTCCTGATATTTTCACGTCTAACTCTGTTAATGCCGAGTTACATGTAATGCAGTTATGTCACTGTCTGGGTATATCGTAGCCAGTGTCAACATTACACAGTTTGTCCACATGTGGGCACTGGTAACTTGATTATTCAACCTTAAGGTATCTCAGTAGCAGGTAAAAAAAACAAATAAGCGATATGTAACAGGTTCTGGATTTGTTTTTATAAAGGACTATATGCCTTTTATATTGTTATATATTTTTTTAAACTCCTAAATATTGATATCAGCCTTATAAATCCAGTATCGGTCAGGCTATAATCTGAAGCAGTTTGATTAATTTCACAAACATTTATGAATTTACAGATATTTGTTAATTTGCTTTCATTTCAGTGTTTTTAATATCCCATTGTCTGAATGCATTTTCCAGTTCAGAAGGAAACGCTGAATGCTTATATAAACAGCTTTTAAAAATCCATACTTAAACTGTAGCTTACATTAAAAGCAAGCCAGGTAGGTTGTATTGTATAAAAGATTTTAAAAAAATACTGTTTGGCAGTGGTTCTTAAAATAGTGGAACCAGCAGATTCCTCACCAAAATGGGGAACAGCTAACTAATGATTTGATTGTAAATCACTGTTGCAATATTCTTCTGGGTGGCTGTTCAGGGTCTCCTGCCCAACTGTTTTGTCTGTCCTTGATATTGGAAAAAGTTTTGGATTCTCTGCGATAGTGTATTTTGGAAAACAATATAAAACACAGCATACCTCAGCCAACACTGAAATGGCCTTTTAAAAAATCAATACTCTATCATTACATTTTAATACACCAGTGTGATATTTAGAAAGTGATATAACTTCCAAATCATGCACATTAACCACAGCCTTTGTAGAGACAGCATTATTATTGCATGTCATTTGAGAAATTTGTATACTATGCTGTCAACAGATATAGCCTATGTAATTATGTCCATTTCTGTTGTACAAAGTGAGCTGAGTGTGTAAATAAGGAAACATAAATACTAATTGGCTTATTTTTAGGGGGTAATGCAGAAAAGGCTTTTTTCCCCCCAGAATATAATTTTAGGTTGAGACCCCTACACTGAAATAATCAAACATGTGTATTAACCTGGGTTCTCTGGCTCTGCGTTTTTGTGTCTTGTTTAGGTGAGAGATGAGTACAGGCAGGACTACGACCCAGCTAGAGGCGGCTATGGTAAGCTGGCCCAGCAGCATCGACCCACAGAGGCACGCAATACTTTTTAGATTGAACCATACTCAGCCTGGATTACACAGATCCCCAGCCTCAGTCTTCGACCGGGATTGATTCTCCAACAATGCCACAACTTTCCACCACAGATAGTTTGTTGCAGTGTTAACCATGAAACACTCTACAGCGGGTCTGCATGGACCGCAGAAATCAGCAGCTGGTTTTTATTTCTTTTGGAGGCTTGTTTTCTGTTCTGACCACCTCCTGTGACTTCCACACCTGTTTCCAGTCTACATGGTAGCTCAGCCCAAACCCCAAAGTTACTGCGTGATATTTAGTGATGTTTTCGTTATCCTGCGTATAGAAATACCAGACATTTCCCTACAGGCTGGAAAGGCTCTGATAGCATGTAGTAACTGGGTTTAAAGACAAAATGATCTGATGAACTAATCGGAAGGAAGAATTCTGTTATTGTCTGTTTTCCACAGGTGAAACATTGTGTCCCTAATTGTGTATAACTTTTTAAATAAAGATTTTTTTTCAACATTTTAGAGAAGTGATATTTCTCCCTAATCACAATTTTTTTTATGGTGTGGCGAAACAGTAAACACTGTTTTCTTAGAAAAAAACCTACATATTACATAAATACATATCCTTCTGTGTAGCAAATAAAGCAAAAAAGAGTGTTTATATAGTATAGCTTAAACTGATTTATTTTGGCCACTTGCAGGCAGTGGAAGCAAGTTGTAAACACAGCAGTGACATCACCTTTTGAGCTGAATGTTGCTGATTTACACATCCACAAGACACAGAGCAATGGTATCACTAATTTGGAGTTGTTTGCAGACACCTGGCGAATTTTAAGGTTAATATTTGCTCTCCTTTTAGTTACATTTGGGTCTTCACGAAGTCTTGAGGAATTTATCTGGCTCTGTAGCAGCCAGATACATGTTATGTTCATAAGCTAGATACTGTGTTGTGTGCTAGCCAAGAAACATGCAGTGGCTTTTGAGACTGTAGCAGCTGGAAATGACATTAAAACATTTATTTAAAAACAAAAAGTTGATGGTTGTAAAACCAAAACAGCAAGCTGAGAGAACTGCAGAATCCAGTGATACTTAGTCACTCCTTTCATATTACACAGTCATTTTATCCTTTTTTATATAAAATATTGACTATAGCAGCGTAAACTGTAAAGTTGGACACTAAATCAATTGATAGAAAAGATACTTTATACTATGTGAGGGTACTGGTAGTGGTTTGACATCCTTGAAGGGTGCAGCAGTTGTCAGGGAAAAACTTCTTCCATAGTCAATGATGTGATGAATCAGTTCTTTATACGTGGCCACAGAGAGAAAGATCATGGTTCTTTCTTGACATGTAGTCTCCCTCTCCTTAAATACACTCGAGTACAACAACAAATGGCAAATCACATCTGGAGTATTAACATTCACTCAATGGCTCTTCCTGAGCTGACACAAAGAATCAGCTTTATTGCCAGGTATGTGTACACATAAGAGGAATTTGACCCTGGACTGCGCAATGCTCACAATGTGCTTACTATTACAATAACACAATAATACAGTAATAAAATCAAACACAGGCTACAGTATAGAGAACACATATGCACACTATAAACAAAATCAAAATAGACAGATTGAGACAATAGTGCAATGAGCAGAGTGCAAAGGATGCAGGAGTAAATTATTACCATTATTATGTACATGTCGGAGGTGGATGTGATATACAAGCATACATGTACACGGTGTGATGGAGCACAGTGCAAAGGATGCTGGAATAAATAAGTATTATGTGCAGGGGTTACGTACTTGAGATAGGTGGATTTGTATACAGTATATACAATATGACAATATGAACAGTTCTGAAATAGAGAATGATGAATGATAGTAAGTGGTAGCCAGTAAACAGGAATTATTGCACAGGAATTGTTCCTGACACTGTGAGTCAAGAGTCTGCTGTTCATCAGAGTGATGGCTTGTGGGAAGAAACTGTTCCTGAGTCTGTTGGTTTTGGCGTACAGTGCTCTGTAGCACCTACCAGAGGGGAGAAGTTGGAACAGGTTGTGTCCAGGGTGAGATGGATCTCTAGTGATGTTTCCTGCCCGTTTCCTGACTCTGGAAATGTATAAGCCCTGAATGGAGGGCAGGTTGCAAATGTATAAAGCAGCAGAGATGTCCCCCTACTTATCCTTTGGTCTGTGTTAAAATCTCACCTACATGCCAGCAGACTTTTATTGTAGATCAGGATCTTTTGATTGGTGATCACTGTGACCAAGTTAAATATAATGAGTCCTAATAATCTGTAACCTAAAATTTATTTCTCTGTACTTAAAGGATTACTTTGCCAGTGTTATGTTTTCCTCCTAATCTATGTAAGCAATTAATTTCTAGTCCTGTAGCCAATTGTTTATTCCAGAGAAGCCATGCAATAGCTTTATGTTTAGTGGTATACAGATGCATGTAGACTCCTTTAATATATGGGCTTGTCCAGGATTTGAACCTGGGATTAAGGGTGCTCCGATCGATCGGTTACCGATCATAATCGGCCGATAATGGCTTTAACTAGTCTGATCGGTGGTCACTAAAAAGGCCGATAAGAAAAGCCGATCAGATGATGCAATACTCACCAGACAAATTTTCAAGGGCAGCTAAAATGTTTCACTATGCTGTGTGAGCGGTTTTCAAAGCTAGCTAGCACCAAAGTCCTTCTCAGACAAGAAGGGATTAAGGCGCCCACATAATCATTTACAATTAGAGTTGAGCAGAATTCAGACAAGTGGAGCAAAACGCAGGAGCGATCATGTGAAACTGTCGCGGCTGTGCTCATCTCACTCACACTCCACCCGCAACCGGAGTTTAACAGACACATCAGGCAGAGAGAGAGACTCATCCTGCAGTGTGAGTTTCCTGATGCAAAGAGCAGCGCCACTCAATCACCTGACTGAGTCTCTCTCTCTGTTTTCGTTACAAAAACGGAGACCTTTTGCTACGTTTCCGCCTCCCGTCCAGATTAAAACGGTGAATCAGAAAACGCTGCTGACCCGATGGACAAAACAGAGGACTTTATAAAACGATGACACACACTCACATTTGGCTTTGTGAGTCGGTCTTATCAGTCATGCAAAGCAAAAACACGATGCTACTTACCGAGTTTTAGTTTTGGTATTTTTATTAAAATATAAGTACTGTGTAAATAACACTTAACAGTTAGCCTAGCCTACTGTGCATGTCGCTGTATTTACTTTGCGACAACTACCAGTCTGTTTTCCGCCGCCGTCTCTCGTACTTCCGTGTTACTTTCAGTAACAGTTCCACGTAAATGTAAAAAAAAAAAAAAGCCTGGTGTGGTTCTTGGTCTGTATTAATTTCATCTTTCGCTAAATCGTCTGCTACTGCGGAGTAGACCATCTGCTTCATGTTTACACTGACACGCGCATGCGCAGTGTAGCTACCTGAACGGCCACTAGAGGTGTGTTTTCAGTCCTTGTAATATAGACAGAGATCAACTCTGATACGCAGCTGAAACGCTGCTGTGGACGGAGAAGATCGTTTTCGTTATAAAACGGTTTTAAAAACGTAGCAGTGTGGATGTAGCCTCACATCACCCCACTCCTCTCTACTCCTCACATGCCAACCCTCCCGTTTCCCCCGAGATTCTCCCGTATTTTTCAGTTCTCACCCGTTAAATGTTTCCCCGTAAATCTCCCGTATATTTAACCTTTATGAAATCAAATAAAAACCTTCTGGCCGTATTTAAAGTGTTTGCTATTCTCTCCCCTGTTAAAGTCGGTGGCAGCATGTAAAATATGTAGACTGTGCTTCCTGCACAAGGATTAAAAATGAAAACAATCCACTGAAATGATATAAGGCCTATAGCCTACTAATGGCAAACCATATGAAATTAGAATGAATATAGTAGCCTATGTAATATTAACAACTGACTGTATAATATGGAATTTACATTGTAGCCTATTCTTATTTTTTAAATTGTCCTTATTTTCAAATCTCACTGAAGGCAGTTATGACTCCTCTCTGTAGCCCTTCTCCCTCTCTCTACTCCTCTCTCTGCTCCTCTCTCTCCCCCCTAAAACCCACAGAACCTGCCTGAGCTTTCCAGAACAAAAAGCAGCTACTTCAGAGTTTATCATCGACTCACAATGCCTGTGCTCGTTTATCTCCTAAATATTTTGGCTACAGTGTTTTTTGTTGCAGTTTTTATGGTTGTAGTAAATTTATAAAGATGCTGTTTGTTCTGTTTTTGTAGTTTATTCCACAGTAAAGCTATATTTGTAAAGCTATAAGATGTTCACAGTAACCAGGCAAAGGCTGCTATGGTTTAAGTCTCTAACACAGATTGAGTGGAATTTGTTGCCCATGTTTCCTGGCAATAAAATAAACAATTGTCATTTCATGAAACTTTATCATCTGTTAACTTTAACACTTAATACATTGTTTTTAGGACCAATTAAATAAATATATAGTATACTGTATAATGCTACATCATAAATAAAAGGCTCCAAATAGACCCAGTGATCGGTATCGGCCGATACGGCTTTCAGCGATCGGTGATGAGCCCAAAAATTCCTGATCGGAGCACCTCTACACGGGACCTCTCGCACCCAAAGCAAGAATCATACCCCTAGACCAACAAGCCCTTAATTGTGAAGACAGCTTTCTCTGCAATTGATTATTTTGAAAAGATGCCGACGTTAGAGTCAACTGGGGCAAATTTGCAGTCTTGCATAACAGTTCGAATCAAGACCCTTTATTGCAGCAATTTTCCAAAAATCAATCCAAAAAAGTTCATTTTATTGCTCATTAATGTACACTCAGGACCCCATCTTGACAGAAAAAAAACAGAAATGTATAAATTTTTGCAGATTAAGAAAGAAAAACTGAAATATCACATAGTCTTAAGTATTCAGACCCTTTACTCAGTATTGAGTAGAAGCACCCTTTTGAGCTAGTACAACCATGAGTCTTCTTGGGAATGATGCAGTTTTTCACACCTGGATTTGGGGATCCTCTGCCATTCTTCCTTGCAGATCCTCTCCAGTTCCGTCAGGTTAGATGGTGAACGTTGGTGGACAGCAATTTTCAGGTCTCTCCAGAGATGCTCATTTGGGTTTAGGTCAGGGCTCTGGCTGGACCAGCCAAGAATGGTCACAGTCGTTTCAAAGCCACTCCTTTATTATTTTAGCTGTGTGCTTAGGGTCATTGTCTTGTTGGAAGGTGAACCTTCAGCCCAGTCTGAGGTCCTGAGCACTCTGGATGAGGTTTTCTTCCAGGATATCTCTGTACTTGGCATTCATCTTTCCTTCAATTGCAACCAGTCGTCCTGTCCCTGCAGCTGAAAAACACCCCCATAGCATGATGCTGCCACCACCACCACCATGTTTCACTGTTGGGATTGTATTGGGCAGGTGATGAGCAGTGCCTGGTTTTCTCCACACATACCGCTTAGAATTAATGGCAAAAAGTTCAATCTTGGTCTCATCAGACCAGAGAATCTTATTTCTCATAGTCTGG